GCTTAAAAAGAAAAAAGAAAAAAAAAGGGCAGAACCCCAGAGAACTCCAGCTACACCGCGTCCACCGTCAGATTTGTTGTATCCAACGCCTTTTTTTTGTGCTTGTTATTATTTTTTTTTGGTTGAATGTGGCTCGCCTCACCGTCTCTGCCGTGGGATTTTTTCCTTGCTCCAAGCAATCCTGCTCAAAAAAAAAAAAAAAAAAAAAAAAAAAAAAGAGGACAGAAACCCAGAGAACTCCAGCTACACCGCGTCCACCAGTAGATTCCTCATATCCAACACCTTTATGTTTTTGTTGAATGTGACTCGCCTCACTGTCTCTGCCGTGGGATTTTTCCTTTGCTCCATTGGTGTTGCCTTCTGTCCCCTTTTCTTTTTCTCTTCTGGACTTGGTGTTTTTGTGAACCGCAGAGAACTCCAGCGACACCGCGCCCACCATTAGCTTCCTCGTATCCAACACCTTTATGTTTTTGTTGAATGTGGCTCGCCTCACCGTCTCTGCCGTGGGATTTTTCCTTTGCTCCATTGGTGTTGCCTTCTGTCCCCCTTTTTTTTCTCTTCTGGACTTGGTGTTTTGTGTGAACCGCAGAGAACTCCAGCGACACCGCGTCCACCGTTAGATTCCTCATATCCAACGCCTCCGCTGGCTCTGTCATTGGCAAGGGAGGGTCAACCATCAGCGAGTTTCAGATCCAGTCCGGCGCTCGCATCCAGCTTTCTCGTAATCGAGAGTTTTTCCCTGGGACCACCGAGAGGGTTATTCTCCTCAGCGGTTCCGTCAGCGCCATCTTAACCGCTTTGCATCTCATCCTCTCCAAAATTTCGACCGAGGTACGCGTTCTCGTCTCCATCCCGCCCATTCTGCTGCCATGCTCATCCCATCCCATCCCATCCCATCCCATCCTTCCGTCAACTTTTGTATCCATCCATCGTCCACGTGCATTGAACTTGGGTTGGGTTCGAACCTGGGTCTGATGTAATTCAGCATTGCACGGCTGTGTTATGTATCAACTGTGACAAGCCCGTTGTTATAACGCTACCCATTTCATTCACATGCATACCAATTTTTTGTTATGATTATCACTAGGCTACCAGAGTGGCCCGGGCCCACTCGCCCGGCCGGGCCAAAAAAAATTAAATATATATATACATTTTTAATTTAAAATTTTATTTTGAATTTGGTAAAGAAATTCGATGTGACCCTGTGGCAAAAGTTCTTCAGTCTATTTTTCTGCAGAGCATAGATTTTTTTCGGATTTTTTCGATGGGTTTTTTTTTTTTTTTTTTTTCTGGGACCTCCTCTGGTCCTTGCACGGCCCGGTCGCCCGGGAAAATAGGGTGACCCGGGCTGCCCCGCTGGTAGTGTAGTATTATTTTTTTTTTTTTTTTTTTTTTTGTGTGTGTGTTTCCCCGAATAATAGTTTTGAAGTAATCTTCATGAAAGGAGAAAAAACCGAATAGGTAAGTCAACTTGTGTATCCATTCATCGTCCACATTCATGATACTTGGGCCGGATTCGAACCTTGGTCTGATGTAATTCAGCATTACACGGCTGTGTTGTGTATCAACTGTGCGAGGCCCGTTGTTATAGCGCTCTACCCATTTCATTAACAGGCATACCATTTCTATTTTTGATTTTATTACTATTATATATATTGGGGTGTGAACCGACAGTCTGTAGAGTTTTCCATCTGGTGTGGGTGAGTGATAGTCTACTTTGATTTTGGTTAAGGTGGATTATCACTTACAGTGTAATCAGTGAGGGGRTTCTACAGACTGTTGAGGGTTCAGCCTCCTGATGAGTCGGTGAAACTCCGACGAAACAGTTTGTCACAGCCCCTCGTTTGTTGTCCTCTTCTCCCTCTCTGCCTACGGTTTACCGGGCAGTTCTATTTGACGACATATATAATTGTTGTGTGTGTGTGTGTTTTTCCCCGAATAATAGTGTTCAAATAATCTTCACGAAAGGAGGAAATGCTTAACAGCAGAGTAAACTTGTGTATACATTCATGATACTTGGGGTTGGGTTCGAACTCGAGTCTGTATTTCAACATTTCAGGGGTGTGCACCAACTGAGCGGAGGCGAGTTGGCTTGTATCGACACCCATTTCATTCACAGGCGTACTTTTTTTTTCTTTTTTTTTTTGCCCGAATAACACTGTTGGAGTAATGGTCATGAAAGGAGAAAATGCTGAACGTATTTTGTCTCCACCAAAGGCTTTTGTCTCGTTGACTCATGAGAAAGATCAGACGGTAAACTGGCTGTACACGGCCCCAGCGTTGCGGATGAATGTACGTCGCCTGCAGGCCCTCGGTGTACTGGTGGTTTCATAGGTGTGTGTACATGGGTTTCACATGCACTGTGAATGGCAACAAGGCGGCATTTTTCTGTGACGGAGCATTTTTTTGTGTCACGTTTTTTTTTTTCTTTTTTTTTTTCCAAACATAATGAACTGAATGTGGAAGCTGGAGTTTTTTGAGAAAAGAAGGAAAAAGAAAAGTGGAAGCTGGGCAATGATCCCAGTAATTTTCAAGGTGGTTGGGAGTCGCCCGGCCTCTCTCTCAGTGTATGTGTGTCATCCTTTGGACAGGGGCCATGCTAAACTTCTCTATCGTTCCATTTTTAACGGGATGTCTCAAAGGACACCCGGCCTCTTTCTTTACTGAAGAAAAGGAAGGAAGAGAAGGAATCTGATATCTAATTAGTATCCCTAGATTGCCAATACTTCGCGAGTTGTCGTATATCCCCTCCACCTGTCCCCTTGTTTGCAAGAGAGAGAGAGAGAGAGAGAGAGGATAATCACATCGGGGAATGTGCTCGGGGATGCTCCTCTCTTGAATCTCTTCTCTTCCCCACCTTGCTCTCTGTGTGTGTGTGTGTGTGTGTGTGTGTGTGTGTGTGTGTGTGAGAGAGAGAGAGAGAGAGAGAGAGAGAGAGAGAGAGAGAGAATAATCACATTGCGCAGGGATGCTCCTCTCTTGAGTCTCTTCTCTTCCCCACCTTGCTGAGAGAGAGAGAGAGAGAGAGAGAGAGAGAGAGAGAGAGAGAGAGAGAGAGAGAGAGAGAGAAATTCCTCTCTTCTCTTCCCCACCTTGCTCTGTGTGTGTGTGCGTGTGTGTGTGTGTGTGTGTGTGTGTGTGAGAGAGAGAGAGAGAGAGAGAGAGAATGTGCTCAGGGATGTTCCTCTCCTCTCGTCAGCAATCAATGATAAATGAAGAGATGAGTTGTACTTCAGAGCGCAGTCATCAGAGGATGCACACTCGCATTCCTACCGAAAATGGGGCACTAGAGAGAGAGAGAGAGAGAGAGAGAGAGAGAGAATGTGCTCAGGGATGTTCCTCTCCTCTCGTCACCAATCAATGATAAATGAAGAAATGAGTCGTACTTCAGAGCGCAGTTGTCACAGGATGCACACTCGCATTCCTACCGAAAATGGGCCTCTTTGCACTACTCACCGAATGGCTTGAGATAGAAGGTTGAGATAGGTGCTCGCAATTTCTGTGTTGGCGAGTGGTGGAGCGAGGCCCAAGATAGCCATATCGGGAGTTCGGTCAAAGATACGTGTAGGTAGAGAGAGCTATTATACCAACCCGCAGCGTTCTAGTCAGATTCCTTTGTAGAGTGTTGTTGGCAAAAGCCCAGTGTAAGGGCGCGATGACAGTTGTACTCGTGCAGCTGAATCTGACCTTAACGTGTGTAAGATACCTTTGAGGAGAGAAAAAAAGAAAAATAAAAAGGGAGAAAAAGTGTGTGAGGGCCTCGCCACACCACCTACCAATTGTGGAAATAGAGAAGGGGTCTTCCTGTACGATGTGGAATGATATACATGCGATAGTGTTTTGTTTCTTTCATATTATTTGGTATGTGGTGAGGCGAGGCCAGTATGGCCCAACACAGATTTCTTGCTTTTTCCGGCAGGTTGGTGCATTGAACTGTTTGTTAAACCACTAACGCCCGGTCATTATCACTGCATCTGGACCGCAAGTTGGCCCAAATGCAGCTACAATGACTGGGCGTTCTATTCGGGTGAAGAAGGTAGTACATGGCCCCAGCCTTGCAGAAAGTTTGTGTTGCCACAAGCAAAACTTGGAGGTGCTGCGTGGCCCGGTTGAAAAAAATAAATCGGCGGCCTCCACAGTGGTCCTTGTTCCATCCTGTCACCCGTGGTCCGATGTGTGGTGTATTGGTGCTTTAAAGCACCAGTACATGTACCCCTTTTGGAGGTTTTATCTATGGTGCTCAGCCTCCTAAATTTTTGGATAGGCTCAAAACAGATTCTCCAGTAGCCTGGGGCCATGTACTGGTGGTTTAACAATGGGACCATTCCTCGATTTGTGTATGTCATCATTTCTTGAAAGCTCAGGGACCATGCTAATCTATGTCTTCTCTATAGCATCCTAACTTGAACGGATGCCGAAGAGAAAACAACCTGCTTGCTAACTTTCTTTTGTGTCCCTTTTTGTGGACATAAAAAGTTGGACCGTTTATCGATTTTTATTTTTATTTTTAGCAAAAAACATGTGTCAGGGTGTTTCCCCTTTTGGGCATGCTGACTTTGTCGTCTGAACTGGCCTGGCCCGTCTCCAGCCGGTTGGGGAAGGACTTGGGTTGTCTGATCTGAGCGGCGGAGAGCAGGCAGGGTGCATGGTGGGGCTGCCTTGACTGGTAGGTGCTGGAAAGCCGCTTGGAGTGAGGGCAGGGCCCCCATGCCGCAGTTTGATCGTGCAAAATTTCCAAACCTTGCTCTCGTCTCTCCTCAATCTGATTTGCACAGCGCGAATTCTACCAATCTTGCAAGCACAGCTTCCTCTCTTGCTCTGCTCTGTGAAGATAGCCAGATCGGGGAGATTGGCTAATAAGACGGTAGGTGCATCTGTGTGTCAGAAAGGCTTTCCATGCTGGCATTAAACCGAGTTGGGCTGGTGAGTGTGCTGCGATGGAATGCAGGAACGTGCCCAGACTTGGTGAGCTGATAGGTCCAAGCGGGGTGATGATTGCGATTGGTTTCTGCTTGTGCGTGCATGATGGTAGGCTGTGCCTTTGCTCGCTTAGGGAAGGTGTTTCTTGGTTGATCGACTTATTGTGAGAGGGTGACGTAAATTTGTTCTCTTCAGTCTTGATGGATGTAGTCAATTTTTGTAATTCGTCTTTTTTTGCATTTTGCACGCCTGTGATTGATGTGCATTTAGGAGGTACCTAGGTTCAAAAATAGCACGGTGAATGAATCGGTCCACAGATTCAACGTGCTGAGATGGCCGTGATCCTAGATATACCTACTAACTTATAGGAAACAACCTAGGTTGCTTTTCTGGGTGCCGGGGCACCCAACTTGTGCCCGGATACACGCCTGGGTACCCGGCGAGGCATTACCCCTGGGCAGGGTTCCGGGCAGCCCCAGCGCAAAAAAAAAAAAAAAAAAAAAAAAAAACGAAAATAAAAAAATTCCAGAAAAAAACAATGTTGTGTAGAATTGGAATACAAACAACTTTTGGCTGAGGGTCACATCAGAATTCCTCGCCGAATTGGAGATAAAGAAGAAAATAACAAAATAACACTAAAGGACCCCCCTTCCCCCCCCTTGACAGCCAACTCCCAAAAAATGAAACGAGCCTGGATTTGGGGTCCTCTGGGAGAGTGCAGAAAGGTGCTTTTTTTTTTTTTTTTTTTTTTTTTTTGCACGCCCAGGTGCCCTATGTCCGCGGATGGGAGGGCAGGAAACTAAACTTGAACCACCAGTACATTTCCCAGCCATTTGCGGAGTTAGGGCTTGCATGCTGCGGTAACTTTTGGGGCTCGGCCAGAGATGGGTTTACATGAGAGTTTAAACCAC